CAAGAAACAAAATAACCAGACCCAAGCTAGTGAACAATAAGTTAAACACTCCAAACTGATCATGGCATAAAACCGAAGACTTGCCAAACAATAAAACGTATTTTGAAAACTGAAGGCAATCATTTCCACTAATGGTTTTCTTTTTTTCTTTTCTTATTGTTCGATGGCTTATTGTTCGCTAACTTGAATCTAGTCCCAAAATACAAAAATGTGAAAATTGTTCATTTTATCGTAATTTTATTGCACATTATTGACATATTAAATGTCACAGATCTTTTGAACAGCTTATAAATTTGAAGTATACTATCGCAAATTACCTTTGACTATTTTATCTATAACTATCTATACATTAAACATGTTAAATGGCTTTGAAATGCGTTCAGTGTCCATTTATCAAATTTACGCAACAGTTGATAAAATTTAAAGCGAGTGTTACGTGTTTATTCTGTAAAAATCAAATATATATCTATATCATATGAATAAAATAAATATTTACTCATAAAGATAAAAGTGATCTAACAAGTGTTTTGGTAAGGTCATTGTTAATCTTTATCTGATCCTTGGACTTCAGAAGGAAGTAAACATGATATTGATGTATTATCTGTTAACTTTATGAACTAATATGATTTGGATACACAAATATTTGGAATTCTTTATAAAACTGTCAATCGCAAAAAGATTTTTTTTAAATTAGAATTGTCGGTTTATTATTGATAACAGTATATATAGCTAAATATAGCTGTGCCCAATGAGCAGGCTGGTTTTGTGTGTGTTCGTGTTGTTTGGAGGGGATGGGGTTTGTTTTGGTTTTTTTTGGGGGGAGGGGGCGGGGGTGGTAGGCGGTTTTTCTTTATAACACAATATGCCGTTCATAAGATGTTTGTTCAATTCAAGTTAACCCCTTACATTCTACCTCCCATACATCAAGTTTATATGTTATCATCTTTGACCAGACATATGGACAAATTAATAGATTTTCTGTTTTCTTCTCTCCGTCCTTTCTGACCAACCAGATCATTCAAACAGCCAACGCGAGTTGTTTTTAAGATAGATGGAATCCAATAAGTTCGAGAGTACACGTTAATGCGACAGTCACCCTATAGTAGAAGGCAACAGACGGTCTTTAACAATAATGTAATTTGGCGAGATGCTTTTCGTGTTTATAAACTGTTAACGGTATCTTAAAATGCAGACACGTTCTATGATTTGAGGTTAAAGGGGACACGACCTTAAGAATCTTGCCAAGGAGAGTATGGTGAAAAAAATTTGACGTGTTTTATGCAGAAAATATGATAGTTTTTCGATTTTAAGGGTACCCGTCGGTTGCAATCCCGACTTTCCATCCCCTGTCATCAGTATGAGACGACAATAGACGAAACGACATTTATGTCTTTAAAATAGTTAAACAAAAATATATAATATATTTATGAATATATTTCAGGTAAATTTCTTTAAATGTTCATCCTTGTAAATTCAATTTTTTTTCCCGGCTTCCGGAAAATATAATTCTTGTTCAATTTGTTTTCCGGAATTGTACGGTACCAAGCAAGTTTCACTATCTAGTACAGAACTCATATACAGGGAATAAGAAGAAAACAGATAAAAAAAAATAGAATTACCCTCCCCCCCCCACACCAGATAACTTTATTTACTCCTTGCACTGGTGTATATTGAAGATTGGTGTTCATACAGACGAGAGATGGTCTTATGTGGAAACAGTTTCGTGGCGTGGTTTTAATTATTTATTTAATACTGTATTTTCAGACGGCTTTTAGTTAACAAACGATATGTACCAACTAGTCTACAAAAAAAAACTGCATAATATTTGTAAACGTACTTGAATGAAGACAGTCAATTCAATGAATGTTCAGATTATCGAGTATTTGAATAAACGCATACTAGGACATAGAATATCTCGCCTTGTCTTCCCTAATTACTATAATAATAGTCATAAATAATCCAAAACTGCACTAAATAAATATGCACTCGAACTACACTTAGCTTAGAATATATCCTTGTAAAGTGAGAACAATGAATATAGTGGTAGATCAAATCCCATCGAACTTATAAATCACATAGGGGTAGATAACAGTGCTCACATAATTGAAAAGGTTATCATATCGTGGAAGACCATGCATACAGCATCCAAAATGACAAACACATTCAAATAGTAAAACTAGTGCCAACCGAACAGACAAGTCCATATAGCGTGGGATCGATTGCTTACGAACATGACAATTAACCGACAAGACATAATAGTATATTAGATGTGGGACGTTATATAACAAGACGAGAAAAAAGCCAATACACAGTGGATTAATACAACTGCATACCAAATAGAATTGACTAAAAATAATTAACCCACCTTAAACTAACCTAACCACAAATTTTAACAATTCTGTCGCCACCGCTCAATCAAGGTAAATAAAGGGGAATAACGTCTTGTCTTATATTATGTTGAATAAACGGTGAATGTGTCCATGGGACACATGTGATGCCCCGCTTGCATATAACGTTATAAAGAGGCGTAACTCGAGAACTATAAAAGTGACACCACCCAAATTCGAACTTGATCTGAGTTTTGTGGTAATAAGCATTGTGTATACGTTTCATAACATCTGGTTGAGGCAAACTTTAGTTATAGAACAGAAACGAAAAATTCAGCAATTTTTCCACATATAAAGGGCATAACTCCAGAACGATAGAAGTGAAACCACCCAAATTCGAACTTGGTGTGTGTTTTTTGTGGTAATAAGCAATATGTATAAGTTTCATAATATTTGGTTACGGCAAACTAAAGTTAAAGAACGGAAACCCATTTTGGAACGTACGTACATGTTAAAGAACAGAAACCAATTTTGGAACGTACGTACATGTTAAAGAACTGAAACCAATTTTGGGACGTACGTACATGGGTTACACTTAATGCACCCTCCGGTGACGGCGGGGGCATAATTATTGGAACTTCACTAAACAATAATCGACTTCATGAAGGTTTTGAAGTGGGAAAGTGTATATTATTTTTCTGGTTGGCTGGCATACTTTAAAACGATGTAGAAACTATGTCTGACATGTTAATTCTGGTATCAATGATGAGAACTAAAACAAATATACATGCGTATACAGCCAGTAATCTGAAAATTTTTATTTTTTGTGGGTAAATTTTCAAATCAACTGTCTATTCAAGAGCAACATAGATTAGTTTATAAACTATTGAATATTATTTCTCCTATCAGTCTAGTTCAAGGGTCCACAATTAAGATTATCTTTTGATCTCCGTCTGTTACATAATTTTTATACAATTAGCAAGCTGTCTGTAAAATTAGAAAATTTATTGCACTATTTTTACCTATATTTATCGACCAGTATGGTTTTAATTTGTTTTACCACTACAGAGATATGGATTTGTAACAAACATTCCAAATTTGATGTATTAGGGGAGATAACTCTTTATTTTTGTGGGTGTTTATTTTCTCCAAAGCTATTAAGTCTCAAGTGTTTACAGTTTCTATATAAATAACAGGATACGTGGGTATATGTCAATGAGTCAGCAACTCAACAAATCACCAAATAACAGAAGACAGATGACTGCCTTCGTGACTCATTTATGATTTTCACGGTTGGTGTCCACTGGACTAGAGGTATCCTTTACCTGCTCAACTGACATCGAAACTAAGTTATCCTATATTTCTTAAAATAGTTGTAATCAGTAGTTATATAGCATAGATTACTAATTCTAGGGCCAGAGAAATGAATTTTGTGGTATCAAATGAATAACCAGGCTTGACAATTTAACCTCTACTGTTTTACTATGTACTATTTTGTGTGGTTTCTCATCCTTTATAAAAAATATCAGGATGTGGTATGATTGCCAATGGAAAACTATCAACCAGAGTCCAAATGTTGTGGATGTAAGGAACTATAGGTAACTGTATCAAATACCCATACTGTATAGTCAGCTATAAAGTAGGAGACTTGACAAAATGTATACCGGTAACGATTCAAATGAGAAAACCAAGTCTTTGCCTATTCATTCTTCTGCACTTTTGGAAACTCTGTATCCTCTATTTTCTTTATAGTTATGTTCTATTTCTATTGTTATTCCGTTTTCTTTCTTGAAACTCTTTCAAAAGACATTAAAATTAATCTTTTTCTTCATAGGATATACTTTATAAAATTGAGAATGGAAATGGGGAATATGTCAGAGACAACAACCTGACCAAAGAGCAGACAACAGCCGAAGGCCACCAATGGGTCTTTAATGCAGCAAGAAAATCCCGCACCCGGAGGTGGTCCTCAGCTGGCCCCTAAATAAAATTGTGTGCTAGTTCGTTTGTTTGCATTATCAAGATCACTTTAAATCCACAAAAAATATCCACTAAATCTAGAGTTGTCTGCATAACGGGACTAATACCCCAATCACATGCATTTTAGTTTTGCACGGCAGTACCAGGGTATATTGAAATTCAGTTTAAATATGTCAATCTGACAAAATTATATTGACTCAGGAACAAAGTCCCAGGTTTGTTTACTGTTAATTCTGAAATCAGTGCTCGCATTTATTATAACGAGTTCTGGACTCAACTTTCCAAAATGTGAGTTTGAATTAATGGGATTCCTTTCCTTGTTGATAACAGAAAACTTCTAAAATGAGCTTACTATGGCAGGGATTAAAGGTCAAAGTTAAGGTAACAGTGACCTGACTTTAGTATGTGACTTTGGTCAACCTAAGTTCTATGGTACAACATTTACTCCCTGAATGTGAATCAGAATAGGTTATCCTTTCATAGGGATCAAAGGTCAATATGAACTTATTTTGGTATGTGACACACCATCTTCCCATGATGCATCTGCATACCAATTTTATGGTACAACACATATGCCCCAGACCAGAAGCTGGACAGACAGATCAGGTAATATAACCCCAATATTTTTTTGCAGGGGTTATAACGAGTCAATTTTTTTTTTATCACAGAATTAGGAAATGAAAAAAACAGCAGCTGTTTATAACATTTAATAACAAGATCTGTCAGCTTACAAAATCATATCACAAATCATTACTGTGTCAATCATAACTCTAGTTTCAAGTTCATTGTTTTCAATCAAAGAAGACTGTGACTTAAAAAATTTTAAAATGTGTAGAAAATTTACCCCTCTGTTTTCTAAAAATTACTGTAAGTTTTGCTCTTTTAAAAAAAAATCATGGAACTTAATGGAAGCAAAAAAAAATAAAATTGGAAGGTCATTCTGACAATGCATCAAAACCGTAATATCATTTCAATGCTAAAGTTGCTAGTACCAAACCAAATCTAAAAATACTTATGGCAATTACAGGTGCTTGTCTTTGTAGAATATATAAAACACATAAAATAAAGTCAATGAAAACATTATGTATATGTATGTAGCACTTGAATTTAAAAAAACAAACAAAAACATGGAAAAAGGAATGTTTGTAAGTGGATATATATCATTTACAATTAGGGTTTAATCCAAAACTAAGCAATTAATCTTTATTTGTAAATATATATGCCTCTTCAATTCACATTTAGGTGTGTTATTTTTATATGAAGTTTGTAAAATTATGCTGTTAAAATTGTGCATAAAAATTAGGTGGTCATTTTTTAATATATTATAAATGAGTTTTACATCTATGGAGAGCAACCCTATGACACAAATAAGTAAAGCATAAAAGCCCTTTGTACCTTATGACATGAGCTGTGTTGGATAGAAATCAACCTTATGCAAGAGCATGTTTATATGTACGTGTATAATACTTTGACTTATTTTGGAACATTCAAATACGAAATGAACAGATGAATTTGTGTCTGGTTTGTATGGTTCTTATATCAAATCAACAGTAACAGATTTTGCATAGAGATTTTTTCAACCTAGAATAAAACAGATGTATTGATATTCATTTGCATAAGGTAGATTTCTATCGATGCAGTTCACATATAGATTTTTGTTTACGTTCAATCTTTAATCATTTTCATGTCATAGGTAAAAGAACTATATAGCATTATGTTTTAGGAATATTCAAGAGTTAAAAATGCATAGAGATTTTTTTAACCCAGAGTAAAACAGATGTATTGATATTCATTTGCATAAGGTAGATTTCTATCCGATGCAGCTCACATATAGATTTTTGTTTACATTCAATCTTTAATCATTTTGATGTCATAGGTAAAAGAACTATATAGCATTATGTTTTAGGAATATTCAAGAGTTAAAAATGCATAGAGATTTTTTCAACCCAGAGTAAAACAGATGTATTGATATTCATTTGCATAAGGTAGATTTCTATCTGATGCAGCTCACATATAGATTTTTGTTTACGTTCAATCTTTAATCATTTTCATTTCATAGGTAAAAGAACTATATAGCATTATGTTTTAGGAATATTCAAGAGTTAAAAATAGTTTTCCGAGACAAATCTGGAATCAAATAAAAAGTCGAATGGAACAAAAGCTAAAGAACAAAAATTTGTGGTTGTAAATTTCAAATACTTCCAATATATGTACTGTTTCATCGCTATTTGTACAAAAGATTACATCAAATAATCTCTTTTTACTGATATAACAGAATTTTTTTTATTCTAAATTTTCCTTCATTTTCCATGTTTAATGAGAAATTTTTTTTTCCAAATTTGTCTCCACTTGCATTTTATTTTTTTATTTTTCAAATTTCACGTGAACTACATGTTCTAGTTACAGTGTATTATTATGACTACAAATATAGGATTTAAACTTTAATACAATCTACGCTTTAAAATCTTGCTATATTATAGTAAGTTTGATGAAAACTGGAGAAAGGGTTTATGGAATTCCAATTTAAAACAGGGATATATATCATCTCTTATTAAAGAAGACTGATCATTCATGTTTAAAGAGGCTTTTTTCTTAGGATTTATTTTAAGGTAACTATTCTGGATACAAAATGTGTTAACAATTTTTTACTGTTATTTATTTCAATTTGTGAATACCAATTTTTGAGATATGGAAAAAATAGTTGTTTCAAGGTTAATGAATTTCTAGGAGCTATCATGTTTTAGCAATTTAAGGTTGTCCCATAATTGTCAAAGTTCTTACACATAAAACAAAACATTTATCATGATCAATCTATATCTAAGCAAGTGATGAAACTTTTTGAAAATATACAGAATATTTTTCTTAATTTGCTATTTTGATAAATTTTTCAACAAAAAAATGGCATACTGTGAATTTGGTGTATCCAAAAAAAGATTCTATTCCAGAAATTGTTGTGATGTCAGGTCCCTGAAAATTAATAATTGATGAGTGGTTGTTCCCAAGAAATCTTTAAATTATTTTACAGAAATTTGAAAAAAAAAAATATTTTATGCATTTCTGGAATTAAAAATGAAAAGCGAACAAACCCACATACATTAAATTATGGAACTGCCTCAAGTGAAAATGCAATACACCATTATATCAAAATTATTCAAATTAAAAACCTATAAAACATTCTCACAGAAAGTAATGACTGGCCAACCACCTCTTTTTGTAAGCATGACATTCATTAAATTAAAAGCCTAGTTGAGGCATTAACAATGATTTAATTAATTATAAGTTGAGCTACGTAATCCAATCCATTTAAAGTCCACTCTTCCATTTCATGGAATCAAAAACCAAGGGAAATACAAAATTCAAATTTGCCCTTGTTAACAAAAGTAGACATAAAATTCAAAAAAAATAATTCTCAATTTTTGTTTATATAACTTAAAAGACTAGATGTGATATACAGTAAGGCATACTTTATCTATGGGTTCAGATAGCTTATTTTATATTCCTCCATTTTATGTACTTGGAGCACATTGGTCAAAATTCATCAATCAAAGCTGCTTTAACAGACATCTGCAGACTGAAATAGTTAATTACACATAAAAACAGGAGTTTCTCTTCTCACTGAAATCATTAAACAAAACTTAGTGGTATATATACAGATTTTAGAAATTAAATAAAATAAATTATTTGTGATATATTCTTAATCACATACAAATAAATAAATCATATACAAATTTGAAGTAAATTCTAATTGAAGAAACTGAACCCTAAAGATAAGTACAAGTTACTGAATATCTTTACAAGAAAAAATGAAACTGAAAGTTATCTTTCTTGCTTTCACAGTCATTTTCAGCTTTTAGTACCAATGTTTCTGATTAGTCAGTTGGAAGCAGCAGCAGCCAATGGTCTTTCATCTATCATTCCATTAAATGGTAGTTTTTGAAGAAAACTGAAGCACTTAAAACAGACCCGTTCCTCTCCAGCTAAGTTCTGATGAGGGATAGGCGTGTAGTTATTACTACATTCATGACAGAAAATGTTCCCACAATTCCTGAAACAGAAAAAAAATTAAAAAAATTCGTAAGGGTTCCGCGGAACCCAGTGTCTCGCCTACTTTTGGTGTTAATCGCAGGCTCAACAAAAATGAAGAAAAAAATAAATAAAAATATTCCCCTCTATACTATGTTTTGATTGTAAGTAGCTTCTGTCCAAGTTTGGTAAAAATCCAGGCTAAATTATGAATCTAATAAATGTTTTAAAAACTTAAACTGCAGAATGTATGTAATGTTGACTGGAAGAAAAACTAAGTCCATTTATAAGTAAAATACAGAAAAAATGAACAAAATTTTATCAAAATTTCCTTCTAGATACTATCTTATGATCATAAACAAGCTTCTTTCCAAGTTTGGTATAAATCCAGGATAGTTTAAGAAAGTTATTGAAATTTCAAAAACTTTAACCACAGAGTGAATGTAATGTTTCCTGGCAGAAAAACTAAGTCCATTTATAAGTAAAATACGGAAAAATGGAATTTTTTTTTTACAAAATTTACTTCTGGATACTATCTTATGATCATAAACAAGCTTCTTTCCAAGTTTGGTAGAAATCTAGGATAGTTTTAGAAAGTTATTGAAATTTTAAAAACTTTAACCACAGAGCGAATGTAATGTTAACTGGCAGAAAAACTAAGTCCACTTATAAGTAAAATACGGAAAAAATGGAATTTTTTTTTTACAAAATTTACTTTTGAATATAATCTTATGATCATAAACAAGCTTCTGTCCAAGTTTGGTAGAAATCCAGGATAGTTTAAGAAAGTTATTAAAATTTCAAAAACTTTAACCACAGAGTGAATATTTGTGGACGCCGCCGACGACGACGCCGACGGAATGTAGGATCGCTATGTCTCGCTTTTTCGACAAAAGTCGAAGGCTCGACAAAAAACCATCTTGGAATAATTTGTGTAATGAGGGTCTTATTCGAGACCCTCAGTAAAACATGATATTATCTATAAAATCTCAAGACTTACAATACATAAGATATACAGTAATATACAATCATAGAAGTATCAAGAAAAAAGGCAATGTGAAGATCATACTGTTTTGTCTTCTATTTCTATGCATTTTTAGTCCTCTACCACTTAACCATCTGAAAATAACTTAAAGTGTGTAACCGTAACCTCCACATTTATACATCAAGAACAAAACAACCATATTTGAAATTTTTTAAATACCGCAATCATTGCTTCATTATAACGATTGTTTATCTACAGAAAAAAAGGTAATACTATAACAGCAACCAAAGTGCTGTTCCTTTCCTTTTTGTGTGATTTTTGCTGTGCATGTACTGATTTTGTGTCATGGATGGATACCCCATATCCTTTGTTTTCCTATAATACTAATTATTTAAATTTCAGAAAATGTAGCATAGGAATAAGACAAAATTTGTTTAATAGTAATTCTAAACATTGCCATACCGATCCCATCATAAAAGCATTGCAAAAAATTCTGAATTTACAGTAATATTAAGCCATCAAAGTATTTATAAAAAAAGTCACTAAAGCACTTGATCTAATAAGGATTTTTTTTGGGCGGAAGGGGAGAGGGTGAGACTATTCTAGCACAGAAGTCAAGAATACCTTAAGCTATAAAAAGCTAATGTGGCATCACATTTTTTTACTTACATTTACTATACAGTGTTTACGAGTCTGTATAATATAACATACTTTGTACTTGCATCATTCATTTTAATCTTTTAAACACCAGCTGCACCGAATTACATAGACAGGGATAGCAGCCAATAATATTAATAAGAGCTAATTGTGTCACATGAATATTCACTTTTTAATATATATATATACATTGACAAACAACTATCTTAAAATTTCATTTTCAAATATTAAATATTTAATTATAATACCATATTTCTCTTCCCTCCAATGTTCCAGTAATGAACAATTGCATTTCATAAACATGTTTACCGTTTTATCTGAATTTTGTCTCTGAATAACCTTCTGACATCAAGCAACTATCACTTATTGATTTTGATGCGAATTTTTTTGAATTGTGATGGGAACTTGCGTGATTTTATGTAATGGTGGACAAATTTGCATACAAGTGTAAATATGTCTATTTTTTACCATGTGTGTTTTAATGGAAGAGCCCTGAGCTGTAAATCTTACTATACCTATGATCAAGCTATAAATTATATAATGCCAATGTTTACCTGCAGTGATGTTTCCTCTTCATGATATTAAATCCTACAGTACATCCAGCACAATGTGTAGCCACATAGTCAGGAACCCATTTAACAATCTTAGCATCTGATTCGTCCAGCTGTTCCCAGCTTACATCTGACGCATTACTACAGCCTCCTAAGGAATTCATCTCTCCATTTGAATCTGGTGACATCAACTATATTTCAATACAAATCGGCATAGTTAAAATTTCTATAAGATGAAAATACGATGTGAACATAAATTCACCCTAAAATATAACAGTTGTCTTAGAATACCCACATTCATAATCATGGTTATTTAAAGTTTCGAAACAGGAAGTAGGTTTATGACAGATTCGAAAAGGTGGCACACATAACAACTCATCACTGACCAAATATGAAGTCATTTTGTAGTTTTTGAGAAAAGTGTGAGGAAAATATCATGTTTATGTTATAAATGTTACCAGTCAAATCTTAAATAATTGTTTTATCATTTGAATGCTCATCCTGTCATATCATTGACATGAATTTAATGATATATTTTTTCTGTAAATTTACAGTGAGCTTAATCTAGGTGTTAAGCTGTTCTAATTATGAACTTGAGTTTTTTTTTTTTTTTTTCATTCTTTGTATTTTAAGTTTTTAAACTTTGGTCTTGAGCATACCCTATGAATAAAAAAATTAAAGAAGCTTAGTGAGCGCGCTCACATACCCCACGTCCCCACATTGTCATTGGAGAAATAAAATAAGTGTAAGAAAAAAAAAAATTGTATAAGAAAAAAAAATGAATCATAATATCCTGTCAATATGCACAACTACATAGTATGTCCTTATTATTTACAAAGTTTCATGAAATTCTGTTGTGTGGTTTGAGAGGAGTTGTGATGACAAACTGTTGCAGTAGTACATTGAAGCAAATAAGTTCAAAGGGTGTAACTCCTAGAAAAAAAATTGAATCGTAATTTCCTGTCGATATGCACAACTACATAGTATGTCCTTATTATCTAAAAAGGTTCATCCAAATTCTGTTGTGTGGTTTCAGAGGAGTTGCGATGAAAAACTGTTGCAGTAGTACATTAAAGTAAATAAGTTCAAAGGGGCGTATACGTAACTCCTAGAAAAAAAATTGAATCGCAATTTCCTGTTGATATGCACAACTACATAGTATGTCATTATTATCTAAAAAGGTTTCGTGAAATTCTGTTGGGTGGTTTGAGAGGAGTTGCGATGACAAGAAACAGGACTGACGGACTGACAGACGGACTGACGTTGCGTGGGGTATAATAAGGAGATGTGGTATGACTGCCAATGAGACAACTATCCACCCAAGATCAAATGAAGTGAATGTAAGCAATCATAGGGAACCGTACAGCAGTTTATTCCAGAAATATTCCACAATAGAAAAAAAAGACAAAAAAACCCACCAAAGTCATAAAATAAGGCCTTTGATGAGATAATAAGCATGAAATTGTTGTTACAAGCACTTAAAATCTCCCTGCTTTATAAAAAACCAAACCTTCTAACCTTTACTTATACTCACCAAGTCATCTCTAAAATTGTCTAACAAACATCTGCCTGCCCCATTACATGCTGAGGCATGGTGTATCAATGCAGCTCTTGTCTCCTCCAGCTGTGATGTCAGAAGCTGAATCTGTCGTTCGAAGTCAGACTTCACCTGTAACATTCTTTGTTGTACAGGTTCATTGAAGATTGTCAATCCATCAACGTCAAGATAGCGACTGATACCATTTAACTGTCTATGGATGTGCGATTCTGTCGTTGACTAAAAACAAATCATTCAAATAATAATGATTCGTATTTTCAGTGGTAAATGGTCAAACTCTAGAAATTTGTATTGAGGAAAAGTATTGCCTCATGTAGACTGTATATGATATATATGTTGGCATATCATTGCGTGGTTTTAATATAACTGTGATTTTAAAGTCCTTGAAATCTATTTTTTCCTGGTGGTTCTTGAAGAAATTGTGCTGGTCCTCACTATCATTGACTATTATTTCTATTGTAAAATACCAAAATTTTGTCGGTCCTTTGCAAAATTAGGGTAAAAACCTTTCATCTACCACTTTTCGAAAACACTGCTATTTTTGCAATGATAAAAAATAAAAGGGGAATGTGTCCATGGGACACAGATGAAGCCCCCCGCTTGCATATCATATAAAGTTTTGAAGGGACAAAACTGAAGAACGGTAAAAGTGACGCTATCCAAATTTGTACTTGATCTAATTTTTGTGGTAATAAGTATTGCGTATAAGTTTCATAACATTTGGTTGAGGCAAATTTAAGTTAGAGAACAAAAACGAAAAATTCTGAAATTTTTCCATTTGTAAAGGGGCATAACTCTAGACCAGTAAAAGTGACGCCACCAAATTTCAAAGTTGATCTGTATTTTGTGGTAATAAGCATTGTGTATAGTTTCATAACATTTGGTTGCAGTAAACTTAGATTGGAGAATCATAAGTAAAAATTCATAAATTTTACATTTGTAAATGGGCATATAGCATGTATACCCACATAACTCTGGAGCGGTTAAAGTGACACCACCAAAATTCAAGATTTATCTGTATTTTGTGGTAATAAGCATTGTGTATAAGTTTCATAACATTTGGTTGAGGAAAACTAAAAGTTAGAGAATAGAAATGAAAAATTCAGCAATTTTTCCAATTTTAAAGGGGCATAACTCTAGAACGGTTAAAGTGACACCACCAAAATTCAAACTTGATCTGTGTTTTGTGGTAATAAGCAGTGTGTATAAGTTTCATAACTGATAACATTTGGTTGAGGCAAACTAGGCAAACTAAAGTTAGAGAACGGAAACCAACTTTGGGAAGTACGTACGGAGGTACAGACAGACGGACGGACAAGGGTAAATCTTAATGCCTCTCTGCTACGGCGGGGCATAAAAACATTAACCTACTTTAATGATTTCACTTCTTACTGTAAATTCAGAAATTAATGCATGCACTTATTATTGAGCATCACTAATTACTGGTAGAAATGTGAGATTTACCTTATATATGCAATTACATAAATTTTGTGAAGGAAAAACATGACAATAACATGAATAATTTCTAGATTTTCAGTATTTGATTAAAATTTTGAAATCACATACCAAACAATACAATATGTTCTGATCTTTACTGAGCAGTTTTGTAAAGTTGTTTTATGGAAATATTTTTAAAGTTTACTTTCAATTGACATTCTAAAATGAGTACAACATGTACAAGAAGTTTCTGTTTTTGTGTCTAACATGTTTAGTTTGTATAGGTATAGGTGCAGTGAAAATGTTGGCAAAGAATCAGATAAAAAGAGTTGTCTGACTATTTTTGAAATGTTCATAGAACATTTCTTTTGTTACTGATTTGATTGTTAATATAATATTAAATATTTTTTACATGGCTACTTTGACTATGGGAATACAAAATGTTTAAGGGCTGTTTCAGAATTAAATGGTGGGGGTTGGGAGTGCATGGGTTGCACTTTTATGAGACCCCAACCACCCATAAAACAAAACTTTCATTTTACTTAAATTAATTAAAAATTATAAGGAAAATGAAACCACTCACAGTTAATTAATTTGAGTGCCTCCCATCCTGCCCACTATGATCAATTTTGGAACAGCCCTAATGCTATCCATATAAAATATCGGAGATTTACGAAAAACTTCTACCATAATAACTAGTAGACCATGAATATCAGTATTTTACCTTACTATCAGCTCCGGGTGTAGGCGGACATGTAGAATTAGGAGTTCTAGAACTAGCTGGAGTAGGATATAATCTGTTAGGAGACAACGACCCATTAGTTAATTGTTTGACACAGCCATTGGTTTTATACGACAACTTCAGAGCATTTGATTGATGCAGTAAACATGTAAGGTTACGCAGATTGTCTCCATCAGTAGAACCTGATAATTCAATACTGGAATTACTTATTTCACTCGTACTCGTGCTTATCGTAGAACTGCTTTCTAATGATTTTAATTTGCCTATCGCTGTTTTGGCAGGGATTAAGTTTTCTACACTCCTCGACACTATTTTAAGTCGTCCATTAATTTTTGACAAATCATTTTCATCAACTAAAGTATCTGTTGAGCTTTCAATTCCATTTTTATCACTTAATGTTTTTTCACTATTTGTTTTGACTAATGTCCTAACTGGACTTCCACTACTTTCGTTGTCTGAATCGGAAGTATTTCCGTTCATATGTCCATTCTGAACAATGTTTTTACCTAGTTTATCATCACAGTCAGGAGTCAATTCAGAATGTCCATTCACTAAAATCTGATTATCTAAGTTATCACTTTTATTTAGGTCATTACTATTTCCATTTGTAACCAGTCCATTTACCATCAAAGGTCCATGTCCATTTTCTAGTGGAATACTTTTTGGTATTTTGGAATCGTTCAAGTCTCGCCTATCAGAAATATCTTTGAAATCTGACAGGGCATGATGACCTGTATCTTTGGTCTGATGAACAGCCTGATCAAAATTTTCTAGTGCAATGCTAGGATCACTTTTGCGTCGACTTGGACTGGGAACTGGAGCCTCCTGATTGGCCAAAAGATTTTCACATGACCTAGTTTTTTGTAAATTACAAGTCATACAAGAAGGCTCTTGTTCCTGTTTGTCCACAGATAAATCTTCAGAACTTGTCCTTGATAAATTATTTGATAGATATACTGATGCCCAAAGCTGTAGACTTCTCACATTGTATGATGGATACAACACCTGTCAATGAAAAAAAAAGTTAATATTGGTTTTTTGGGCTACATTAATGTCATATTGACACTTCAGTATTTCTTAGTCTTTTTTGGGTCAATACGAAAGTGTAAATTATTTTTTTTTTTTTAAAGTGAAAATTGATGTTTTGTTGTAGTTTTTTTTTTAAACTTTGCAACTTAATCACATTGAATACTGATACTTATACAACATATGGTCTAGATTGATGAAAGGGGTGGTGCACAAACAAAGGAATCTAGTGTTTATAGTTATTATGGTGATCTGTTGTACTGTCATTTGTTTTAGTTAATTCCTCTTACCCTTTTTATGTATCAGAAGTACTTTTTCAAAATAACTGTTACTGCTACCGGTCCAATCCTATTGCATATTATTAATCCTTTCAGAAATGGTGTTTGTATTATTTGAATATTTACTGTTTTGGACAATATGATAGTCAATAAATAATTTTTAAGGACACTGAGACCGTGTAACGTAACTTACGAGAAAGAGCAAGTTTCCGAATTAAAGCAGCTATTACGACTAAATTAACTCTAAAATCTTTCTTTGAAATTGTGTTTTGTTGTTGACTTGCTGTCTCATTGACATAAACTCCACATTTCCTTTCATTCTAATTTTCATATTGTGATCGAGATGGACAACAATGGAGTGTATAGGTACATGCAATTTGAAAATTGATAATTCTTGTAAAAGAGAACCAATAATGGAGATGGTGTTTTAAGTTTGTGATGAAACTGTATTTCTTACCTGTTGTTCTAGAGATGGGCAGTATAGATGATTTGTAAATTTATTATTTTTGTTGTTGAGTAGCGACCATACAGAAGCTGTTCTAAGATTGAGCTGGTTGGCTTCCCTTTCCCGAGTGTTGTTACAGAGGAATGTACCAAACAAATGAGAATAGGTATGCTGCATCAACTTTACCTGTCAAAATAAAACATTGTCAATGATACATTGAGTATAAACAAAATTGTTTTGACCTCAGGCTTGATTATTTTATTTCATCACTTTTCTGTTCTAAACAAGGAACAGAATGAAGATTTTAAGGTGTACATTGTTTTTAAGTGCTGAGGCTGAATAATTAATTGAAATTGAAAAAAAAATTGACAAATGAAAGATTTTTATGCATTATTGAACGAAAGAAAGATTTTTTTTAACAGGTTTTTGAGTCTATTTTGCCAGATCCTTTTGTGAAGGCAGATCAGCAGCATGCTATTTGTTAACTTTCCACATTTCATTATTTGTTACAAATGCTCTTAGTATTGTTCATGTTTATGGTGTTTATAGAAGTCAGTCTTATATCTGCTTCATTCATCTTTTTGTTTTGCAGCTACAACTTGATGCATTGTGAGCTCACTAATAATACCCCTTCACTAATAAATCAAGCAGGTATGTCTTGTATTTGCTCATAAAAAAATCATTTACTAGTACATGTATGTCCATGCCATTTTAAAGATATAAGATTTAGTCAAACAGGAAGTAGGAAATTTAAGGAACTGAAGAGTGTCATATATATTGGGTCTACCATAACCAGATGAAACTTAAATGTCTTATTTCGAGAAGCTACTTATAGTTGATGTGAAAATGTAACTGACAGATGATGCACATAGAGACCGAGGTAATCCAGTAAATCACTCTCAAATTTGAGCAGGGAGTATACCAATGTACACCATTTAATCATGCATCTTCTATTTAAAATCTTACCAGATATGCTTCATTGAACTGGAATGCACAAGGGAACTGTTTGTAGAGTTGATACACACAGTCTAACCACTGTAGAAACACAGGACATCTCTCGTTTAAATCTTCTGTGTTGATACCATTACCACATCTATCAGCAAACTTATGTCCATAATCTAACCATTCTCTCTCTACTAATACTTGAAATCCCTAAAAACAATATAATTATTCCAATTTAATTTTGTAATTTTATTAATGATGAAAATCATGACAATATACATACCATATTTTTGAAATTATGATAGGAACCTTTTTTTCCTTTTCTAAACTAATAATTATAACTAATATCTTAAACTTTGGGTACAGTTGGCTTTTAGCTTATATTACACATCTTTCTTGCACAATAAAAAAATGCCATTCCTTTGTTGTCTAATTTGAGGCATTTTTTTTCATCATTCAAAATTATTTCAATTTATGCATGGTGGATACATTGTTATAACAACTCAAACTATTTTATGAATCCCACAGAAAAATATTCATTATATCAATTCCAAGCAAACAGTTTATGTTTTTACAAACCTCTAACGTCCTATAATAAGGATCCAGTAGTAGTTCTGTTAAGGCTATAATCTGTGTGGTTCTATCCCAGCCATCAGAACAGTGAACCAGTACAGGTTTCCCTTCCTTATCAATAGAGTTAACAGCCACTAGAGCTGACTTCAGTATGGCACTTAGATAGGTAAACCATTTGGTAGTCTCTAAAGTTGATAACCAACTGTAATAAAAACAGTAACATAAAACAGATGGTGCATGACTTAATCAGAAATCTGAAACCAGTTATAATAACAACTGTACATTTAAAGTTATTGCAGCTTTAGTATTTCCAGATTATGTACTCTAGATCTGTTCACAGGAGATTCACCATAAAAACTCCTTTGCTATTGGAAACTCATCAACCAATGTAATAGATATTAGAAGAAAAAATTTAGAAAAATTGCAAGTTAACTTTGAATTATGTCCTATATACTGTGAATTCATTTATATTCATGGGATATCAGTTTTCGTGGATTTCATGGGTATAAATGAACCACGAATTAAAAGTACAACGAATACAAAAGGGAGGCGAAAGATACCCATGGGACATTCAAACTCATAAATCGAAAATAAACTGACAACACCGTGGCTAACAAAAGAAAAATGACCAAATATATAGTCTTGTATGCACACTTTGGCAAATCCAACAACTCAAATATTCACAAAATATATATGTTTCTTCAATCCACGAAAATTGGTATCACAAAAATAAATGAATCCACAGTAACCAAATAACAGAATGATTTAAAACCATTTCAGCACATCTAGATAATGCAAAGGAAATAAAGTCAACCTCAACAAATACACCTTATCGCTATTTATTCGAATCTGGATCCCGGACAAGTTCTAAAATTACAAAACTTTTTCATCCAGTTGAAGCTATCCGGAGCACTGTTTAAACAATGTATTATGCATAAAACTTTTCAAAGAGAAGTGTTTAAACCATCCTAAACACTTTAAAGAAAGCATTTTTATTACTTTAATTTGTGTTTTAAAAAAGTGGATCATAATCTATAAAAGTTTCAAAATGTTTGCTTTCTAAACTTTTTCCTTCCTTAGCTCATTACTGATGACCTTTGTTTTTGCAAGACTTGACCCAAACAGGAAGTTGTATAAGTGACTGTTTTTTTTCCTGATTGGACTAAATAGCGATAAGGTGTATTGTTATACTACCCTATGCTTATTGAAACTTGGTATGAAAGTTGTTTTACTTACTTTGGTTGATCAGCACCACCACTACACAAAGCTCTCAAAGCAACATAACTTTTACGTATAGTATGGATGTTGGCCAAATTCATAAACTGTATCTCAGAATTCTGGTAATACTCTGAAAATAATAAATATGATCTATTGGTATGTTCATTTCCGATTTTTAATAATGCTACCTAGTCATGAAGTATTACTTAATTCATTAGAAAATATCTTTCAATTTTGTAAACATTTACTTACTTCCACAAATTCTATTTTAATACCTAATAAATATAATGCATGAAATTAATAAAGTGATGTTTTCATTTTGTACAGAACTAAGTTGAAACCTTTGCTGGTGGACTATCAGTCCCTGAGGGTTTTATCATTTCAGTAGTTGGTACTTTGGCACTGACAAGATTTATAACAAACCTTTCTAAAATTTCCGTTTATGAATTCAGAAATTATTAAGAAACTAAGATTTCAACTTCCTCATGCAAATTTGACCTTAGATGGATTTGGCTATTATATTTAGGTCCCCTTTGGTCATATAGTTCTTTAACTGTTTCGTTTCTTATACATTCTTGGCTTTCAAATATTCGGCTTTGAGCGTTCCTGATGAAGGTAAATCCAGAAAAGCGCTTCTGACGCATGAAATTTATAAAGTGTTGTCTTCAGTTTTTATTATGTTAAAGTATTTAAGAGAATCAAATAAAACATGTACAATTCTGAACATTTACCCCACATGAAAATGTAAATGATTTCTTGTGTTTACGTTAGGACATTACCTGCACACTCCACACCTCCTCCTTTGGCCCTGTTGGCCACAGCGGCACTGTAAGATCTACAGTCCATTATAATCATCTTTTTATTCTCTGTATTCATGTCACTTCCTACATCTGCGATTAAAACAATACATGTACAATACATATTCCATTTTCTTTTTTAAATATTGCAAATCACTTTATTCATCAATTGATGTGGCATTTCTCAAATTTTCAATTTGGACTAGTACCTATATTTTGCAGCAAGTTACAAATACATATATGATTGAATTGTAAATCAATAAATATCTGCCATCCTATTTTCATTGTTACAAAATTAAACATATTCTTCAATTAAAGTAAGTTTTGTTCACATACAGGTACAAGCTATACACACATTTATGTACATCTATTTTGTGAACAGGGATCAAAAGTATTTAAAGTAAGTTCTAAAATCACTGACATTTCCATTCTGTGAACAAGATAGAACTCTGTATAGCAGTCAACTGATATGCATCTTCCTTCTGTGAACCTGATAGAAACCCTGAACAATTATCATTTGTACCGGGATATTTGGTATAAGTTTCTGGGTATTGTGAATAAACTAAGTTCTTCATTATTTGAATACATCTAAGAGCCTATTTAATCATTGCTGATAACAAGTTATGGATTCTATGATCAATAAGTGCCTCCTTTGTGTGAACCTGACTTGGATTCTAAATTATATTGAAATAAATCCTTGGTTCTCTCAACAGGTAACCTACCTCCATTCTGTGAACCAGACTCAGAGCCAGATGAATCATCATTTATACCAGGATACTTGGTATAAGTTCCTGGGTTCTGTGAACATGTTACCTACCTCCATTCTGTGAACCAGACTCAGAGCCAGATGAATCATCATTTATACCAGGATACTTGGTATAAGTTCCTGGGTTCTGTGAACAAGCTATAGGAACAGATTCTAACATTTTTTCATCCTCTGTACTCCTCCATCCTAACCAACCTAATTCAGGCTGGCTACATCTAACTAACACTGCACCATTCCTCTGGTCTCTACAAAATTTGTAAAATTTTACTTTAATAATGCAAGATATAAATGCACTTTTAAAAATTTTTATAAGGACGAAAAAAAAACATTAGTATTGTAATTCCATATTTAAATTTTTAGACATGTTGCAATGAATATTTTGTCAGTTTCATTGACTTTGTTTGCCTAACTTCCAATTTTGTAACATTGAACTCAGTAGTGTTTCTGACTTATATCTAATATTCACTTTTTCATTGCACTAATGTTAATTTCACTGCAATTAGTTTGAGTGCACGAGGAAACACAAGTTCCATAATTACTTGCATAAATCACTTGAAAGTACTTATTAAACCTATAATCACTTGAAAGTACTTATTAAACCTATAATCACTTGAAAGTACTTATTAAACCTATTATACAAACATACCTCCATACAACTGAAGGAAACCTCCTCTGAGCTCTAAATCCTGCCACATCCTTTAAATGTTTATCTGTAATACAGGCTGGTACTATGTGACATTTAGGATAGGATGAACACACACTGAAATTATAACATGTATAATGATTTAATAGACTGGTTTGTATACTTTTGAAAATTAATACTGAATGCAGTAGCAAATATAACAAACATTCTCCACTTAGGCATCTGCACCTTTTTTATATGTACTCTTGTACCTGAAGAATAATTTCAGACATGCTCCTGCTGATTAACATTATATTAGATTTATTTGTTTTTCAACTACAAAGAAATCACTGAAATTCTTTGCTTTCAACTATATCAAGATTATTTCTAACATTTACACAACATTGTTCTGTTTCAAAGTAACATTTTCAAGAAACAATTTGATTTTATTACTGTATCTAGAAAGATATGACATTTCTCCACTTCCTCACATTATAAAGTTCAAGACAGCTTCTAGCACATCTTTGAGTGAAATTCTTTGCTAGAACTGATTTTGCTATGTGTGTGCATTTTGGGAGCTATGCTATCATTTTTATCTTCTCAATTAGCTTACCTGAAATCTTCATTGATATAAGTTATCCTCCAAGAAGATTTACTCTTCAAATCAAATTTCATCCTTTCCACTTCTTTCCCAAAGCTAAAATTGAATCTTTCTGCTACAAAAAATAAAAGATTCATATTCTAAATATTTTGATAATATACTTAGGTAATGGAAGAAAATATAAGTCAATGGTAGAACATTTTTTATAATGATTCCATTTATGCACAAACATGTGTACGTTATAAATTTAATATGAATATGAATAGGAACAGTTATAAGTCAACTGATCTAAAATGTATAATCAAAGAAGATCATGTATTTTGGTTGCTTTTGTTGTTAGGTTGCTGTCTCATTGACGTCTATTTACACCACATCTCTCTTCATTCATACTGAATTGATGAAAATTCTGTAAAACATTTTATTTATCAATTTCCAGGACTAAACTTATTTGCGAGTTTTTTTTTTGCGATTTCTAGGGCCAGACCTGTTTGTGAGGTTTTATTTCCACTGTTTCAAAGAAAAAACCTGTTTGTGGGTTTCATTTTCATATTTTTCTTGTACCTGATTATAAACTTTCCCAAAATATGATGTCGAACAACTCCGGACATTTATTTATAAACACTAATAATTTTAAATAAATTGGTATATATTTTGTATGAACAGAACCAAAGAAGGTCCTCCTTTTCTGGATTTATTATATAATCTCACCTTGCTGACAAAGTTGATAACAGACTTCATGTTCAGACGGACATGGACTTCTGTCTTGGCACCAGGCAAAGAAGGCAAAGGCAAATAGGCCACTTAATTCCTTAGGTATACTGGTCCTCTGTGTAATCCTTTTGAACCAGTCTTGGCAAGAATCATTGGTACTGAAGTCACATCTGAAAATAAACATCAAAGATTAATAACACTGAACTACAGAAAGTCTAATTCATATGTTGACATTTATAATAGTCAATTGTGGTAAAAGGATAATATGGGCATGGACTTAAACCAGTCAACATTTGATTTCCAAACTATACTTGGAAATACCCATATACAAAGGGAACACATTTTTTTATGCTTTTCTACATCTTAACAGAAGGGGACCTTGTGATATCCATGATCTGCAGAACTAACATCTCCCATCAGGGCACACAATAAATCTCATCACTGTTGAGCTGTTAACTATATATATGAAGTCATTTTGCTCAGTAGTATTGGAGTAATGTAGCCGACTATACATTGCTATATGGTATGGGTTTTTCTCATTGTTGAAGGGCGTACGGTTGCCAATAATTGCTTACATCCACTTTATTTGAACTTTGGTTGATATTATGAATCATACATGTATATAATTATATAGTGATCATGTTTGACTTCTCGTGAACGTAATTCGTGCTGTGTCGAATTCAACAGACTTGTTGGTTTTTTTCGTTTGAATTGTTTTACATTTGTAGTATCGGGGTCTTTGGATAGTTGTCTTATTTGCAATCATACCTCATCTCCTTATTTTTAAATGCAAAAGTTTATTCATAATATTGAAAAATTTGAAGTATTGGCAAACAGCAAGGAGGTACATGAGGTATCTGACAGATCTATACAAACAGTGTTCATGCATTACAATTCATCACTGTCAAGTTGCTGACTGAATATGAAGTCATTCTATTAAGTTGGTTCTAAGAAAAATGTGACGGAAATATTAGTTGAACAAAAGGATTGAAAGACAATGTGATCCCACCAACTTGCAGAGTGGCAATATATGTCTGTGGTATAATACATGTAGGTGATCACAAAGAAGCAAGTAATGTACAAAATTAAAAAAACTATGTTTTTTTTGTTACTATCAGCACTTGAGTGTGTACATTGGTCCCTTTAGACCAGTTGATTAGTTATAAAGCAGTCAGGCAATAAGATACATGTATCCAGCTTTATTACTAAAATTCAGGTTTACATCTAACATTTCTTTTTTATATTATAAACTCCACCCAATTACTATTAAATTATTCTTTCTTCGACATGTTGAAATGAATTTGTCCATGCAATTCAAAATACTTTAAAAAGTTCCTTTTTATATTTATATTTGTAAATTTATATTCAAACTAGGATTGTATTTTTCTTCATATACTTTTATAATTTAATTTAAAAAAAATCATATTTATACATATTCATATATCTTTTCATATTGCATAAGATTTTGATGAAGGGTTTCTGATTTACTTTCCTTTATACAAGACTAGAGATCTACTTTTAAAGATAACACAACAAAGACATTTAAAAATTGATAAAATCTGTTCAAATAAATAAAAAAGTCAAAAATTAATCTGAGATCTTTAATCCGATCGTATAATAAAAAGTAAGAAATGAGATGTGAATAAGGTAATTATCTACACTAGATCAGACTTGTTACACCAATCCATGTAAATCTATATAATGCAATCAAATTAAATTCAAGTTGATCAAGTTGATAGTGAGAATGTTGAGTCAGGTGATTTCTATCATCTTTTATCATTCTGTACTTTCTGGAGAACAAGGGCAGGCAAACTTTGTTTACTAAAAGGAGATGTGGGGTAAATCGATAACACAATCATCTGTTTTTATCTTTACAGCTGAACAACAAAATTAACAAAAGATGGCACAAGAGTTTAGAACACTTTACAGTCTTCACGATGAACTTGAAAATCTACTGGCCCGGAGCTCAATTTTTGGAAAATTTAAGTTAAATTCTGTTGGCTTGTAGATATGATTTTTACAGGCCCGAGAGCAATTTTACAAGCCTGGGATGCTGGGCCTGTGGTTCAGCGTGAAGACTGCTTTACTCTATCAATTCTAGTATAATGGACATAAACATAAACCCACAAGTAAAGACAACAATACAAAATAACATTGTACTCTTTCATTTGAATCAAACGTCCAAGATGGACTCCCCTCCCTCATTTTGAATATATGTACAAGTCGTAATGCAACATGTTAAACAATTAACCCTAATTGTGACCAATACAGAATTAGGGCAATCTTGAAAAATGTATATCAAGACCAGCTCAAGAATTTTTTGTACTTTTCTTTTATATTTCTGAAAATGTCAAGTAATTAAAAAGAAAGCCACAAATATACTATCACTTGTATTTATCTGTCTGTGGCCTCTGGTAATATTTCTCAAATCAATTTAATGAAATTTTAACATCAGACATAATTGACAGTTATCTTATCTTACAAAATTTTCACTAGCAATGAAGACTTGGTGATCGTTTCCAAAACCTGTCAACCATTCACAGGGACAAAAGCTTTTCAAAGAATAAAATGTCCTCGCATTAATCAGACCAACATTTAAATTTCATTCACTACTGTTTCTTTATCAAGACTCCAGGTCTTTTAGTTGTTACCAGTCCCCTCTCTACATATAACCATTTCTTATTGTGATTAGGACCAGCATCAAAATGGCAGTTAAATACATATATGATTTATGAATAGTTATAAATGATATTTTAGACTTTGCATTGAACATCTAGCACTTTCAAATAAACTACATGCAAAAGGAAAAAATTCTATAACACAGGAAGATTTAAATTTGACTATTGTATTTTATGGAGTATTATTGCTGTCTTCTAAAAATAAATCTTACAAGGACACATCATACAAATAATACCTGATCAACAGATAACAAATGTTTTATTACATTAAACTGACAGATAGATATCAGCTTAAGAAATAGTAGTACATTATATCATAGTATATATATATATATATACATTGATATTAAATGATTGAATAATAGCCAAGGATAAATCTTACCGGGCGATGGATCATATAATTATGATACAGTACACTACAAAATATATATACATTGATATATATTCTTGTAGATGTTTCAAATTTTTTTTTGTTTCTATCTCAATGATCTTAGTTAGACCAAGCAAAACAAAAAAAAAAACATTTTAGGGTTTCCTCATTAAGGGCAGGTAGGTCACTGTGGGTAGGAATTCTTTTTTTATTTTGGTATTTTTTTTACCATGAGTATAAGGAGAGATCTGCAATTTTATCCCAATTCACCATTGAAAGTCCCCAAAAAATGTTAAGGGTATGCATATTGAGGCATAAAATGGGTAAGCAATGAACCCTAAACACTTGTATTTGTTTTTTCTTTTGGGCCTTAGTTCAAAAGCATAATTTACAAAATATATAAGAAGGTTTTCTTGAGTCAAACCTATTTGTAAGATTTTATTTTCATGTTTTTCTTGTCCCTGAACATGCTGATACTCATCTTCTTTAAATATGAAATTTATTCCAGAGGATATTCATCTAGGCTATACTATCATGACAATGATGTATTGTTTTGCCTTAAGACATCAAGGGAAATACTAAATCACCAGGAAGGAAAAAGGAAATATCTAGATACATGTATGCACTCAAACAGGTTGTTTGGGTAATGATGACTATGGTCAAAATAACCTGACATAACAATAGTGGCATCTTTTCATATGTACCCTAAATTACAATCACACAGAAAGACATATGAATGAGGGAGGCTTGCACTGATAAGCAGACGGAACTCCATATACTTTTTTTTACATGTATAACTTAACATTTTGAAATTTTGTCTGTCGTTCCCTTTCATCAGACTCCAACAGTGATAACTGCTTTATATGGTAAGGCTTACCTGACAACGGTGGCATCCTTGCAATAGATATTAACGGAAAATATTTCCCTACACTCGACAGACTCCACCATCCCTAGAGGAATGTTGATAAAGCTGTCCTTGGACCTGACCAACAATCTGAAGTTGGAGAGAGCAATCACACCATCAGCTGTCCTACCTAGGTACTCTACAGCCTCTCCACATAGCAGTGGGAAGGGTACCTGCAGAGAATCATCCTCACACACCAAAGATTTCTTTGGGAACAGCTCAGACTTCAGTATGCATTCCATACTGGCTGGTTCGTCAGCTGAGGCCTGAAATTAACAACTCTTTAATTAATTCTTTTCAGTTTGATATTTTGTCTTCAAATAAGATACAGTATAGAAATATCCTTGTGTATCTCACTAAGCCTGGATTACTTAAATGTTTTATCTACTGCCATCTCTTCAATGCTTGACAGAAAATTCACGAATAAAAAAAAATTCAAATGAAAAAAAAAAGGATTGTACACAGCAGTTAACATGCTTTGAATCTGTAGAAAGACAACAGGTTTAAGATACTGAAGAATATAGAATTCAGTTGGGCAACAAGAACATGTTTTTTTTTCACAAATCAGTAAACCACCATCTTATTAATTCAATAGCCTTGACTTCAAATTTTCTTGAGTCTACACATACATGTAAAGCATATCTTCAGCTACATACATGTATATTAAAGGAATTTTGCCCAAAATCTGTAAATAAATATATACATTTATCTTATAGACATACCTGGGACCAATATATAAATGTCCAAGGACATACATACATTTTTTTCAAACTAGTTATAAAATCCTTACTAGGCAGTTTACGTGAATAGGAATAGAGACACTTATAGATCATATATGTTATTATGGTTATACAGACTATTGATCCACTTACTATGTCTACACAATTATCACAATGCTGTTTTGTTTTCACTTAAGATTTCAGGAAGGAAATAGTATTTACAGATTATAAGTATGTCAAGCAGATGGATTTAAAAAAAATACTTAAATTAGATTATAAAATTATATATATATGCAGTCTTTACACTAAACTTTTTGACTAACAAGGCTGAAAATTGGTCTTTCTTTCCTGAAATTCATACTCTAATATATGGCTTGTGAGGCTTTTTTCAGGAAAATTATCCTGGCTCAACAACATTTTTATTGGCCTAGGCTGTTGTCCTTGTGGTTAATTGTGAAGACTAATTTGTGAGAAACATAAATATGGTTTACAGCAAGCTTAGGTCAATTAACTTAATTCTTATACAGCAGTTTTATTTTATATTGTAAATAGCAAAGTCATATGCATTTTTCTAAACATGCAAGAACATGAAGAAGTCAAATGACATTTAGGTAACCAAAAAATTTCGAAATAGCATCTTTTTTCAAGAAATTATTGCCTCTTATTCAAGTAAATCATTATGTGGCATCAAGTTATCATGATGCTTAAAGGCCCTGAACAGAACACTGACTAAACTGAAGTTTACAAAAACAGCTCGTGCAAATAAAATTTGGGCCAGGGAATCCAGCGAAAAAATCAAATTCACGAGTGAAAGTCATGAAAGTGTTAACACAGAAACCATTATTTTCTCCCCATAGAAAATGTCAATGGAATTCCACTGGAATATCAGTTGATTCCACTGGAATTCCACTGGATTCCAGTGACTCATTGGAATTCCACTGGTAAATCATATAAAACTAAAAATTCCAGTGGAATTTGATTGGTATTTCCACTGGAATGACATTTGAAAAATTTACCACTTTAATTCCACTGGAATAATGACATTGGAAAATTTTACCACTGGAATACATTGTTCCTTGATTTAAATATATACATACATTTATAACTATTTTCATGATATTAAAATACCTTGGAAAACCAAGTGTACATAAAAAAAAGCTCATGAGTAGTTTGATAATTTAGTGATGAAAAACCATGAACAACAAAAACTTGAGTGCACTTTAAAAGATTGTTTTCAAAAATTAAAGCAGGGTTGCGTGATTTATCATTAAGATACTAATGGGCATTATTTTTGGTAGAAAAAAGTACTTATATTAAATTCTAAAAGCTATTATCAGTACAATTCATTTGTACCTAGTCCAAATAATTATGATGTCTTGAAAGGCTATTTAATTGTTGCTTTGACACCTTCTGCAGCAACGTCAAAGCAAAAAAAATAGCCATTCTGTTGAAAAAAGTTTTAAATGCAACACCCTTATTTGTTTCTTATACATTGAAATTTCTCTGAATACAGGTCTCCCACCATACCAGCCAAATCAAGAAGACCCAGCAGATTTGCAATTAATTAAATGGTCATTCCTTCAAATCGGATACCGGCCGGTATTTTTGTATTTAAATAATTAAATAATTAAAATCATTAAAATTCAACCTCATAAATTCTAGTTTGAAGAACAGAGACAGCAAGTTTTAAACTACAGAAAGGAAGAGAAGTTTATATCTGACACATAATTTTTATATTAGTTAATCAGTTTGTTGGTGAGGTTTAAGCTGACCATAGTCACTGTTTTTATTCTACTTATACAAACCATGCAGGCCATTTTTCTGTTCATGGATAGGATGTTAAGAATGTTATTTATTTGAATATGATCAGATCAATCATATGATCAAAGCACTATATTTTGTGTTTCTCAGAAGTAGTGATAAGACAACCAATGGGTCTTATATGTCACAGATCTAGAGTAGCAATTCCACAGGAACTGCACTGTTATTCCGCTGGAGTTGCAGCAAAATACCACTGTAATTACATTTGCATTCCACTGGAATAATTTGGCTGGAATTCCAGTGAAATAACAATGTAATTTCCACTGGAATTCCAGTGATGCAGTGGAATATTTTGGCTGGAATTCCACTGGAATACCAGTGAAATAACACTGGAATTTCTACTGTAATTCCAGTGGAAAGCCAATGTAGTTCCAGTGGAATTCCAGCCAAATTATTCCACTGAAAATCACTGTAATTCCAGTGGAAATTACAATGGAATATCAGTGGTATTCCAGTGCAATTCCACTGATCTTTTTCTCTAGGGCTTACTGGGAAGCAAATTTGTTAAATTTTTGTTTTCATGTATGATAATTTACAAATCATGATCAATCAATTTTTGTGATGAAATATACAGTAAATAATCTGATAATGTCTGAGTATGCTGAGTAAGAGTAACATCCTAAATATAATTTTCCTACATGTGATTGTGTGTATTATTAAGTTAGGAGTCTAACATATCATTCTCAATACTCATATGTACATAGGCGTACCATAAACAGATTGAAAATGAGGAATGATCATATCTATGGATACAATATACATTTGTCACCCCTGAGTGTAACCAGTGTAGTGTAATTCAAAACTCATTTAAACCCCTCATCTTTGTCAATATAGACTTTATATAGACACAGACAATGAGATTCATTATGTTAATACAATATCGTTGTTTATCGGTCAAAAGACCACAATGCAACCAAGGACATGTATACATTTACATATATATAGAAACATCAATATTAATTGTAAAGTATGCAATGAAACAGCTTGACATTCCTTACATTTTTCATTTAGTTCGTACTTTAAGACTTACAAAAGTTATATATCAATTTTCAATTCATACAATTATGGAGCAATATTTATAATTTTTTGTAATATTTTTTACATTACATAATAAGTTCCCAATAAACCCTGCAAATAATTAAAATCAACAATATCTTAAAAAATACCAAAGCATATTTCATGTATTTCATCCAGAATAACCCATGTCTACAAAAACCTTTTTGAATTTGAAAAGTCATTAAAAATTTATGAAAATTGTGTGACTTTAGTTTTGATAACATTCCTTTTCAGACCATCCCTGCAGTTTTGATGCAAATTGTTCAGTAAATTTCATGAATATTAGATCTATGAAAACTAAATTCGCTTAAATATCTTTTTATTTTTTGTTTCATGAAATATATAAGTAATTAAATTCAGGTGGTTACTAGTATTTGTTTATTTTTTAAATATTGTAAATGAACACATCCTTACTATATTGTAACATACATTTACTATCATATAATAATCTTAAAATGTTTGTGCTGAGTAAGTATAGTTATATCCTTAACTAAATATACATAAATAATCCATGCTTGAATTATTACAAAGTATTCAAAATATTTTTAAATCTAGTTAAAAACTATATTATATTAACATCAAGGTCACTGACCGAGTTACGAAATAAGACCTAAATCAAATGTTTGGACATAGATAACATGAAATTGTGACCCATCTATTTATCACAGAAATTACCTCCAGGGATTAAGTATTGTACAACATAAATACACAATTCAATGATAATATGTAAACTTTTAGTGTTTACTTGTCCGTCCAATTAATGGTTGTAGGAGAGCTTAATGTTCGTATATCACAGAATCTGCAATAAAAGTTTAAATAGAAATTTGATCTTGTTAACATGATAATTTTGTTTCCGTTAATAATCAACATCATAAACGGCAAATTACATGTACATGGTAATGATAGTTTTATCTATTTAAGAATGGAGGAACTCTGTAATGAAATCAATAAAAGTAAGACCACTTGAAGGAGGAGAAAAAGAACAAACAAGAATGTGTCCATAGTACACGGATGCCCCACTCACACTATCATTTTCTATGTTCAGTGGACCGTGAAATTGGGGTCAAAACTCTAATTTGGCATTAAAATTAGAAAGATCATATCATAGGGAACATGTGTACTAAGTTGCAAGTTGATTGGACTTCCAACTTCATCAAAAACTACCTTGACCAAAAACTTTTACCAGAAGCGGGACAGACGGACGAACGGACGCACAGACCCAAAAACATAATGCCCCTAAGTGGGGCATAAAAATAAATAACCTCATGGCCAATAGAGAAAAGACAAATCAACAGTCACACAGAACACAATAAAAACTTGAGCAACATGAACTTAACTTGTTTTTTGTTTAACTAGAATCTCAATAAAAAGAGGTTCTACATACCATATTGTCATGCATTTGGCTCACAGACTGACCACAAACCAGCCAGAAACACTGTTTACAACACCAGTACTGGTCTCCTGTCTAGGAAAGAGTATCCTATAGCTGCTAGCACTGCTTTAGAGTGTAACTTCCCTAACTAACAAGTCTAATCGTCTCAGTACTTTTTTACGTGTTGTCCTATTTACCAATTTACTTCCTTGGACACCTGGAAAATAAATTTCAAAATGTTGAACTGATCTTCTAACTGTAATAACATTAATATTTGTTCCAGAATTATGGATGAAATAACATTTGTTCCAGAATTATGGGCCTAATGTGTTATTTTACGTCTTGTAATATATACAATGAATTTCCCAGACAACTTCTGACACCAAATCATAGATTTTCAATTAACTGGTCATAATTTTCATAAATACTACATATACAGTGTGATTCTATTTAATATTTACAATGTACATGTAACTATGATTGTGTTTTCTTGAAAATCTAGTCTCCTAACATGTGAATAAAAGGAGAGATTAGGTACACCTCGGCAGAAATCCTTTTGTACCAATTATGTATTTGCACCACAACTCAACAATGTTAATTCAACATGATAAATGAGACAGCAACCCCACTACAGAAATTACCAATAAATCATAACCTTAATCACCTAATTTACAGGTCTTAATCCATGTTATCAGTGTGAACTAAACTTGACAGGTGTACCATGAATATAAAGACTAACAGAAAATACAGTGTTTATGCTTATCTTAAAGTTTTATCGTACCTTAAAAGGTTTTTCCTACTACTTTCGTCACATAAATAAATATATGACTTTTTCTGAGAAAAGAATGACTTTAAAAAATATGTCAATGAAAAAAAAATGCTGACATATACAGATATTTATAAATCTACCTACTTCCTTCAAAATAAAGGTTACATGTTGAATATAATTACATACAATTGCATAGTTAAAAACATTTCTTAAAATAATATTTTTTTAAATTGTTTGAATGGATGCCAAGAAAAGTTGTCATTTTGTACTAAATGTATGTAATCCACTGAAAGAAGAGACTATTTCCTTCCAAATTCTTTAATTTCTGTGACAAGAAGTTTACATTGAAACAATTAATTGAATTATTTAATTTTCTCACCTTTTTATTCAAAATTGATTCTAATTTTGTGGTCTGGTTATTTCTAATTTTAATAAATATATATTTCCAATACCTGATATGAAACAATGTAAAATCATTAAAGCTTTCAAAATCATGCAACTTGTCAGATAAAAATCTAGGGTATTATTCATACTAAGTCTTTTGATCAATACATGCAATAAAATCTCTGTCAAACATGTTAAATACTTGTAGGATTGTCTAGAGTATAGTTCAAATGAACTTTTAACATATATCTTCTAAATAAAAAATTATTAGGTTGATCGGTGTGAAATGCATTTATAAATAAATGGGGAATGTGTCCATGGGACAAAGATGATGCCCCCGCTTGCATATAACATTATAAAGGGATGTAACTCAAGAACCGTAGAAGTGACGCTACCCAAATCTGTCCTTGATCAGAGTTTTGTGGTAATAAGCATTGTGTATAAGTTTCATACCATTTGGTTGAGGCAGACATAAGAAAGAGAACAGAAACGAAAAATTCAGCAATTTTCCATTTGTATCGGGGCATAACTCTAGAACGATAAAAGTGACGCCACCAAAATTCAAACTTGATCTGTGTTTTGTAGTCATAAGCATTGTGTATAAGATTCATAAAATTTTGTTGAGGCAATCTAAAGTTAGAGAACAGAAACCAATTTTGGGACGTACGGACGGACAAGGGTAAAACTTAATGCCCCCTCCGCAACGACGGGGGCATAAAAAAGTAAGGCCCTGTTGTTTTCTAATTTGCTTCACATTAAATCAAATTTTCAATATCTTTGGGAGAGCAATGGACAACAAGATCAATACCAGGTCTGGACCTGAGTCAATGTAAGAAATTGATAGAGGCAATATAAATACATGTACCGCAGCATAACTGATCATTCGCAGACCAAATGTCAAAATTATTCACTTCAATAGGAGCCAAGAAAAGTTGGACAAAAATTTTCCTTCTACAATGAGTATGATGAGTGTTGTAAGATTTCAAACTATTGGCAAACAGGAATTGGTTACACATTCGCATCAACTTAACATTATCAGGCTGCAGACCAAATATTAAATCATTCCCTTTCATAGAAGCCAAGAAAACTTTGACAAAAATTTTCCTTGTACAATGAGTGCTGTAAAATTTCAAACTATCAGCAAACAGGAAGTGTCTTCACGTCAGATGTAATAAATGTGCTTCGCCGAGCGCAGCTGGATACGACCCCAGAGGTCCAACCCTGAACAGTTGGGGCAAAAATGGACACAATATTCAAGCTTGATACAGGTCTGAATATGGATTGTAATTAAATATTTGACACATTATAGGTTTCTAACACAGAATAAATGTGGTCAAAGAACTTGAAATTGGTTATATGATTTGAATTTATATTTAGATTTCTTGCTGTTGTGAAATACACTGTGCTGTTGCGCAATACTTATTAAATCTGTTTTCAGACTATATACAAAGAATTAGCAAAATAAATTGTGATTTTTTGGAAAATTGATAATTTCTTAAATCTTGAGGAAAAAAAATTGACCCCCCCCTCCAAAAAAAATAATATTTGAAGAAATTTTCTTTTTGTAAAATGTGGTACAATTTAAGAGACATCCAAACACTTAAGGTATCCGACCCATAATAAAGAAATCTGGAAAAAATTTCCGGAGTTTACCAAGGTCTCAATTTTCTCAACACCTCGGTATTTTACGCCTAGTAAGCGAAAGTATAAATATAATTCAAGTATATTTTCATTAATAATAAAGTAAACGCTCATTATTTCTAAAACTTGTTTATTTTGAGACAATCCGTAAATAAAAATTAGGGTAAACAACATGGATGACTCGATGGTACAATTTCATAGAGATTCATACACTTATAGAATACACAAGTTGTTGTCCAGAAACTAGAATAAAATGCTTCGCTGGGCGCAGCTTGATACGACCGCAGAGGTCGAACCCTGAACAGTTGGGGCAAGTATGGACACAACATTCAAGCTTGATACAGCTCTGAATTTGGATTGTGATTAAATATTTGACACAGCATAGGTTTCTGACACAGAAAGAATGTGGTCTAAGAACTTCAATTTTTTTAATTTACCTATAATGGTCCAATGTCCAAAATCAAAATACATGGTTAGATTCAGCATATCAAAGAACCCCATATATTCAATTTTTGTTGAAATCAAACAAAGTTTAATTTTGGACCCCAACTTGGACAAACTTGAAAACTGGTCCCATAATCAAAAATTTAAACACAAGTTTAGATTCAGCATATCAAAGTACCCCAAGAATTCAATTTTTGTTAAAATCAAACTAAGTTTAATTTTGGACCCTTTGGACCTTAATGTAGACCAATTTAAAAAACGGGACCCAAAATTAAAAATCTAAAAACACAGTTAGATTTGGCATATCAAAGAACCCCAATAATTCAATTTTTGATGAAATCAAACAAAGTTTAATTTTGGACCCTTTTGACCTCAATATGAACCAATTTGATAGCGGGCCCACAAATAAAAAATCTAAATACAGGGTAAGATTCAGCATATCAAAGAACCCCATATATTCAATTTTTGTTGAAATCAAACAAAGTTTAATTTTGGACCCCAATTTGGACCAACTTGAAAACTGGGCCAAAAATCTAAAATCTAAATACATGTTTAGATTCAGCATATCAAAGAACCCTATATATTTAATTTTTGTTGAAATCAAACAAAGTTTTATTTTGGACCCCAACTTGGACCAACTTGTAAACTGGGCCCATAATCAAAAATCTAAACACATGTTTAGATTCAGCATATCAAAGAACCCCAAGAATTCAATTTTTGTTAAAATCAAACTAAGTTTAATTTTGGACCCTTTGGACCTTAATGTAGACCAATTTAAAAAACGGGACCCAAAATTAAAAATCTAAAAACACAGTTAGATTTGGCATATCAAAGAACCCCATTAATTCAATTTTTGATGAAATCAAACAAAGTTTAATTTTGGACCCTTTTGACCTCAATATGAACCAATTTGATAGCGGGCCCACAAATAAAAAATCTAAATACATGGTAAGATTCAGCATATCAAAGAACCCCATATATTCAATTTTTGTTGAAATCAAACAAAGTTTAATTTTGGACCCCAATTTGGACCAACTTTAAAACTGGGCCAAAAATCTAAAATCTAAATACATGTTTAGATTCAGAATATCAAAGAACCCCATATATTCAATTTTTGTTGAAATCAAACAAAGTTTAATTTTGGACCCCAACTTGGACCAACTTGAAAACTGAGCCCATAATCAAAAATCTGAACACATGTTTAGATTCAGCATATCAAAAAACCCCAAAAATTCAATTTTTGTTAAAATCAAACTAAGTTTAATTTTGGACCCTTTGGACCTTAATGTAGACCAATTTAAAAAACAGGACCCAAAATTAAAAATCTAAATACACGGTTAGATTTGGCATATCAAAGAACCCCATTAATTCATTTTTTGATGAAATCAAACAAAGTTTAATTTTGGACCCTTTTGACCTCAATTTGAACCAATTTGATAGCGGGGCCCACAAATAAAAAATTCTAAATACATGGTTAGATTCAGCATATCAAAGAACCTCATATATTCAATTTTTGTTGAAATCAAACAAATTTTAATTTTGGACCCCAATTTGGACAAACTTGAAAACTGGGCCAAAAATCAAAAATCTAAATACATGTTTAGATTCAGCATATCAAAGAACCCCATATATTCAACTTTTTGTTGAAATCAAACAAAGTTTAATTTTGGACCCCAACTTGGACCAACTTGAAAACTGAGCCCATAATCAAAAATCTGAACACATGTTTAGATTCAGCATATCAAAGAACCCCAAAAATTCAATTTTTGTTAAAATCAAACTAAGTTTAATTTTGGACCCTTTGGACCTTAATGTAGACCAATTTAAAAAACAGGACCCAAAATTAAAAATCTAAATACACGGTTAGATTTGGCATATCAAAGAACCCCATTAATTCATTTTTTGATGAAATCAAACAAAGTTTAATTTTGGACCCTTTTGACCTCAATTTGAACCAATTTGATAGCGGGGCCCACAAA